AATCCAAGTGATGAAAAATTAATGAGAGTTGAGATTAAACATGTTTGTGTAGTGGAGCAGTTTAAAACTCATTCTCTTGACAAACTGTTCAAAGGTAATTTCCTTCTTTTCGATTTGTTTTCTCTACTCCAGAGTGCAGACATTACTTATACATTTTCATGCCCCCATGCACATCGAGCGAGCATTCGATAATCTTGCTACTGCCTCATTTACCCACAATTGATACCAAATGGTGGGGGCGGGGGCGGGGGCGGGGGCGGGGGCGGCGGGGGCGGGGGCGGCGGGGGCGGGGGGAATTGTGGTCTGTTTCTCCCAACGGTGACCTATTTTTGTTTGTTTGTTTTAGTAAGAGTTTTACGGCACTTGCAACACAATAAGGTCATATAAGTGTCGAAGATTAGAGGTGTTACAAGAGAGTAACAAACATAAAAAAGATGGAGGGAAGATAAAGACGATAGAATTTTTATAGGAAAGAAGGAGCAAACCACACCAGAGCTTCCGCCAACCACCCATGACCTATTTTTAATGGGGTAAAGTTCCAGAACCCCTAAACAGACGATGGTCTTTGGATACTTGGCAGTCGGATACAACAATCCATTTATCGTAGTTTTTCCAGATAATATATCCACTTTTGATTTATGTCAAAGCGGAAGCGTAAGACAGAGATTTAGAAAAGAAGCCATGACTATATTCATCCTTTTCAAGGACTGTGAAGTTCTGTGTACACCAATGCTCGACAACACATATTACATGTATATTATATTCCTGCGCTTGAATAGAAACTGAGATCCACAATTAAACCAAACCTTCATTTGATTTATCACTTTAAAATAATGAAAAAAGGAGACCATATTAACATTTCTGTGCTGCAATCATAATCTCACTACATGAAACTAACCAGTTAAAAAACAAAACAAAACAAAATATAAGTGAAGCGGCGGGGTGGAATCAGGCTCTCGTCAAAATAATCAAAGTGAAGAAACTCGCATCTTTCCGCAGGTTTGTGAATTTTATCACATTTTTTGTTGTTTTTTTGCTCAACACCTTTCGTGCCCTTTAAAGAACTCATTTCTGCGTGGATTTTTCTGACGCAAAACAAAATGTAAATTTTCGGTTACCACGGACTCTTAAGCTAAGGAAATAACTAATCTTTGGCGGCCATTTCCTCACTAATTTTACCTCTGAAAACAGGTGACCCCCCACCAACTTCTTTCGCAAATATCTCAACTTGTATTCAAGATAAATGGACATTTTTTTTCATCCAAATAAAGACAAATGAACAAGCTTTAAGATTATACCAATAACTCTACATGCCCAAAAATTGACGAGAGCCTGATTCCACCACGCTGCCTCACATAATATACCGATGGCTCCAGTTCTACCCTGTCTGTTTGAATGCAGGAATCATGACTGTCATATTGTACATGGTATCCCGATCCTAGATCATAAGCGAGTTAGCTGTGTAGGCCATCATGAAGAGATAAGGTTGCGTCGGAACGGTTGTATGATGGGTAGGCTACCGGACCCGCAATAGTGAGATGGTGGATTCAGGACTCCAAAGGCTCGTTTCCCTCTGACACCGTGTCCTTGGTGAAGGCATTTTACGCAATATTTTGTTTCCATTTGGCTCGGTCCCTCGCGCGTGGCGTGGTTGAGCCCAAGGGGTAATCACGCTGGCCACTTGTGATCTATGCACCTTTGCTAGAGTGGTCGTATCACAAGATATTAAGTTATGCTCCTTTGAACAACATTTACACATGTTGCGCCAACTGCTATTGATAAAAAAAAAATAATTAAAGCACTGGCATGCAGGCAGCTTTAGAAGAATGATTCATGCAAAAGAATGTGAAAGATAAGAACTAAGAATGACGAGAAAAAAATGCTCAAGGTATATATTATATCAGTCAACAAATGAAATTGCAAATTCTACAATTATGTTTTTCGGAAAACGTTTTTTTCCCCCTTGTTTTTTTGTTTGTTTGTCTGTTTGGTGTATTTTGATAGTCTTGGGTCGGATACATATCCCTGTAAAATTATCTAAACTCAAACATATAATCTGACCTATTAATGATAGTATGAAAATCGTGAACAAACACCATGCTCCTGTTGAAATCGTGAATCTCACACCTGTGAGAAATCCACTCTTTTATCAGTCGGTTTGTTTCGTTGGGCTGTCTGTTGGCCCGTGAACGCCTCGGGAGACCTTGACACATTGGCTGACTGCCAGATTGTAATTTATGATATCAACAGCTTGCGTTTTGCAAGAAAAGCTCTGTCACATTATTAAAATTACAGTGTCATAGATGCAGCAATGGTATGACGAGTGTTTCACAGCGACCGTCAAATTCGAATATTACGTAATGCGTGTGTCCTAATTCTACAATTTTGTCCATGCTCGTTTGCCAAATTTTTTTTTTTATTAACTTAAATATAAAAATTACACGAATTTTTTCCCCCGTTATTGTATCACAATCCAAGTGCATTAATTTGAGATCATAGTCCCCAAACAGAAAAAAAGGAATGTCGTGAAGCTGAGCAACTTGGGCCATTTTTAATATCAAAGAAAGTTGCGGACAGTATAAGCAGAAAAACCAGTTCTCAGTTTTTAAAAACGCATCATTCAAAGTACCCGATGGGTGGAAATGGGACACAAGTTTGAAAGAAAAAGTTTGTGTGGGTGGCCAGCAATACAAATCAAGAGATAGGACTACTACAGAACCTAACTAACTAAAATCAAGATAATTGCTTAACAAAATCAAGTGACTGCTCACGTTAGAAAGACATGGACAGAAAAGCTATCTTTTGCCTTCGTTCGGACTTTGACATGGAGAGAGAGAAAGACTTGTCGTGTGAATAGTCTTCTTGCAAGGGTAGAGTCTGACTAGAGGTACAGCAAACGTGATACACCCAGCTGAAAGATGCATACCTGGGTTCATCATCTGAAACAGAATGATCAGAAGATTGCATTTTGCAGGAATGTGTTGGTTCACCAACTGCAAAGTGCTCTAGAAGAGCATTATGCCAGCTGCATGACCACCTCTTTCAGCTTGGACCGACAAAGCCCTTTTCCCTGTCCTGGGCTGGCTTCCTGACAATATTAAACGTCATTTCATTTTTCTTTACATCATTCTCAATGACTCTTCTACAGGTTCCAGGTACAATTCCTCTTGATCTCTTACCCTGTGGATTAAAATCCAACACTTTCTTTGTTATGTAACTGTCTGGCTTCCGGTGGATATATCCAATCCAGCCCGTCGGAACCACTTCCTCCCATTTCGTCTCCGACTGGGCTCTATCTTTTCTCCTTAATACTTTCTCGGTGGTGACCCTATTTGTGTACGGAATCTTGAGTAACTTTCTCAGATACTTGTTGATGACAACTTGGATCCTCCAGCATTTTGTAAAGAGTGCTCTTGGAGAGTCCCAAGCCAGCTGCACCACAAAACAATCCATACAATCTAAGAAAAGGCGAACAAGCCTGGTAATATCTTGTCCAAATCAGTCGTGAAAGCTCAAGAAAATTGCGTTTTGAAAACTGTTTTTGTAATCTGTCGGAGCTTCATCTGTTTTACGAAACAGACTGTATTGGTCTTGGACAATCTGCTGTATGCGTCGAACTACTCAATGTGCACTAGATGAAAGGAACATGTCGGTCTATGCTTTAGTTGCTCTTGCAAAACAGTAAGGTCATAAGTGCCAAATATTACAGGTGTTACCAGAAAAGGTACATGTGAACTGGTCATGAGTTTTGAGTCTGGCAACATCACCCAATCAGAGTGGGAATCTCACATCATGTCAGAAGAGAAAAAAAGAGAGAGAGAGAGAGAGAGAGAGAGAGAGAGAGAGAGAGAGAGAGAGAGAGTCAGTCACACTATAGATCACATGTACCTTTGTCCCTCTATCAATTACTTCTGCTTTTTCTTCAACAATTCATGGTGCCATCTGCTACGTATGGTACGAGGCACAGCGTGGTTTCACTGCGAGTGAATTTACGTGTTCAATGGACTTTCTTTCAATGTGCACACATACATGGACAATTATCATATAAGTTGCCGGGCGTGTGTACCAGAAAACAACCCACAAAAAACGTACGAAATTATGTCTAGTGCTTTGACTGAATGCATTGTCTTACCAAAACAAACATCGAAATTGAAATACAAATAGTATGGAGGCCAGTTCGAACCTTTTAAAGGATATTTCCATAGGCTAGTATTTAGTCCTGTATGTTTCAAATACCGATTGAGTAGCGTTATGTAAAAAAAGCACAGATTTGATCCTGACGTTTTTCCCACATAGTCTAGGATATTTTGAATCAAAACAGCTAGTAGTTAAGCTTGAGTTTGAGTATGAGTTTTACAGCACAATCTACACAATCTAGTCATAGAACAAAAGAAACTGAGAAACGGTGTTGTAAGCGTTAAAACAGAAGTTAATGTAGACTTCACAAACGTTTTACAATGTTTTAAAACAGTTTATTAACAAGCCAAAATACATGTACTTTGTTGACAATTTTTTTTATTCTAAAAAGACAGTACAATAATATAATAATTAAATATTGTATCCAACGACAATGTTATAGTGTTCTCGGATCAGCACTATGCGTAATTTTATTCATACTTCATCAATGCATAAATTGTTTCACCTTCTTGTGCTTTTTTAAAGATCTTAATGGCCACAAGAACAACATAGGGCCAAACTTACTTTCGTAGTGACCATCAAAATAGTTCACACTGTGAGAGATAGAGAGAGAGAAAGAGAGAGAGAGAAAGAAAGAGAGAGAGAGATAAAGAGAGAGAGAGAGAGAGAGAGAGAGAGAGAGAGAGAGAGAGAGAGTAAGAGAGAGAGGGAGAGAGAGAAAGAGAGAGAGAGCGCAATTTTACACACTAGAATCTTTTAAAAACTGTTGCCTGCCCCCCCCCCCCCCAAACCCAGTAAAAACTCCTTTGGGAAATTGTCTTCGTACTGATTGTTCCTCACACTTCACTTCAATGAAAAAGAATTCCTACGCCTAAGATAAAGCTGTGTAGATACTGGAATAGCCCACAATCTTTTAACCGCTATAATTAATTAACGACTTTTAAACTCGACGTAATCAATAATCATCGCGACATTATCGCCTTGCCATGATCCGTTCCAGGTGGATCGTTTGGTCCAGAAATCCTCCGCTGCATGAGGTGAGCTGTTCTTCCACCGTTTTGTTGTGGGGTAGTGGTTGCCGTCGGGGAAAAAGCCATTGGTGCCTCCCACGGCCACATTGAAGATCATGTAGAACTGCGGAAGAGAATGCGTCCCGTTTACAATTCAGTATACGTGTAGTTCGGATATAATGTCTCATTCAATTTTAACCGCTATAATGGAGGGATAGGGGTATACTTTGTATTAACGATCTCCGTATGGGAGTGAGGGGGGTATACTTTGTATTAATCGTCTCCTCATACCTCTTGGTCAAACGGGGCCATCTTGTTGCCTCCCCAGATATTGTTGCCAGAAAATCCTCCCTTCTGCCAGAACCCGCCAGATGGAGGATATACAGCCATGATTTGCTGGTAATCTATGAACGTTCTGCATGAGAAGACGGAAGACATAGAGGTTATTTAAATCTCGATCATATATTCTTGGACTCATATAGCACCCTGGCTTTTTTTTTTTTACGTTGTTGCTGTTTTTAACATTGCTGATTCCCTTATCCTGTTATGTTGCCGTTTCTCTTTTTGTTGTTGGTTGTCATTTTTGTTGTTGATTTGATTATTGCGTGATGATATTGTTGCTTATGTTGTTGTGACCGTTATATGTTATTCATACTGTTGTTGCTATAGGTGTTTGTTGTTGTTATTGTTACGATCATTGTAAATGTTGTCAGTCGGAAGCACTGAAAGAACTAGACTGTTCGACTTCCATTTTATGCCAATGCAGTTTTCACTGTCCCGCCAAATTACGAGATGAGTCTGGGACTCGCTCAGATACGGAGTTGACGACAACATAGCTCTAAGATCTCCACCTGCCATTTTGTCGAACATCAGGAAATACGTATCTCCTGTCCTATAGAACTCCACGAAATTAGGGATATTTTCACAGTTCTTGTAGCGACGACAGGTCTCGATCTCACTTATTACTCTACGGAGTCTTTTATGCCGACAGTTCCTCATGACTTTGACTGCGTATTCCTTCCCTGTTTCCTTGTTTCTGTATGTAGAGACAGAGCCGAAGGATCCGTGGCCCAGATTTTCTCCCGTAGGCTCGAACAACGGACAGAAAATGTCCCCATTCGTTCGTCGCTTACCTTGTCTTCGCTTTCGTTTTTTCGAATCGGTAGGGAATACTCGAGTGCTTGCACCGTCAGCACCCGTGTTGTTCGTAGCTGTAGTAGGAGGAATGACGTCACACGGAGCTACCTCTGTGTCGGATGCAGGGAACTCACCGCCAGTACAGGCCTCAGACGTGATGCATCGTTTACTATCTCCATGATTTTGTTGACGTTTTCTTTTCCTAGAATCGGAAGGCAGTGTTCCATTGAAGACCAGATTCTTATCTGTCTTAGTGTTTTGAAACACTGTGCCATTACTGGCTACGTTCGTATTCGTTGCTTGAAGCACTCTGTCGTTACGAGCAGTTTTCGCTGTAGGAAGCACCCTGTCGTTACGAGCAGTGTTCGCTGTAGGAAGCACTCTGTCGTTACGAGCAGTGTTCGTTGTATGAAGCACTCAGTCGTTACGAGCAGTGTTCGCTGTAGGAAGCACTCTGCCATTACTGGCTATGTCCGTGATCGTTGTATGAAGTACACTAGTATTACAGCTTTTATCCGGGTTTGATGAACAGAACACACTGTCACGGCTATATACTGCCAAAGTCCTTTGACTGTTCCGTTGAGTCCTCGAGCTGTCTCAGACCATACTCCAAAGTCTCCATGACTGGTGAAGATCCAGATCCCCGCAACATGGTAGGAGACGTAGACTTGACCCTAGACTGAGACAAACGGCGCCGAAGATGAGGGAAAACACAGCTAGGGCACGAATAGAAACAAACAGGCGAGGTGCTTGTCGTTTTGACGTCGTGCGAAAAAGTCAGGAACTTGAAAGTCAAGCCGAAATCACTCAACGATGTTTCAGAACACCAGAAGTTCAAAACGCTCAACATTTATCAACAGGAAACAAGCTTAAAGATGTGTGCTCTATGCTGTCCAGCATCTAAACTGACGCTATCTGTGACTAGCTGACCGGTCTAGTCTTTGTGCGGAATAATTTCAAAATTTCTTTTCCCTAATCTATTCGACTCTTTTTTGTATCCGCTATAAAAGGGAGGGGAGGAGGGAGGGAGGAGGGGAGGAGGGAAAGGAGGGAACTAATCATTCGCCTTTGTGTATAAAAAAAAATTCTACCCTTCCTTTCAGGTCCCCACCATTATGTGAATAGGGTATCGCGTCATCATTGTTAAAATTTAATTGTTACACTTTCACACCTCTCCGCGTGCCTCTACCCACAGTCTCACTGCCCGGGGCGGAGATGTAATGACTCTGTATCGTCTTAATCTTTAACACTTTCCCCGTCAAGCCGGACATTCACTGGCCACCCATGGTTCCCAGTAATGTAATGTTGTTTTGGTGTTGTTGTTTTAAAAAAAAAAAGAGTTTTAAGGCCCTTGCAACACAAACATGTCATATAAGTGCCTTAGATTAGAGATGTTACAAGAGAGTAACAAACACAAAAGAAGGAGGAGAGGTTTTATGACAAAAGTTGTTTGATAGGAAAGAAAGAGCAAACCACACCAGAGCACCATCCAACCACCCATTCATGTAATGTTACTATAAACATTTCTAAAGGGTTTATCAAGAAACTAGACAACTTAAAATTTGGCTGTGACGAAGAAAAGCGACTATTTTGGGAAAAGAATAGACGCTTTCTCAAGCAAACTGGAAATACTAAGATGGAGAGTTAATGGATTAATTTGTTGTAAAGACAAACATAAGTCAGAAAAGTGGTTTTTTCACCTGAGCTAGTGCACACGTCTGTTGGGATATAACAGACTGTTTCTGA